CAATCTCGGAGTGACCCCGGCCGTCTGCTCGCTGCTCAGCAGACGTAGCGCCTTGATCAGATAAGGCCTGTAGGACCGGGTCTGAGTGCCGGAGAAATCTGCTTCTTCTGGCCTGGCCTTTTTGTCCGGAGCGAGCCGGGCATAGGAGAGAGCATTCCGCGATCATACGCCGTGTTCATTTGTTGTTCTAATGGCCGCTATTTGGCCTCGTGGCTTCCGGCAATGAGGATTATCCTATTTTATGTAAAAACATGGGCGGCCTTTTGAGGGCTGTCTGGTGACGTGAGGGCCGACTCCGGAAATGGGTTCTTTCTGTCCTGATTGAGGAGGGTGAAGTGTGCGTGTATTTTTCTTGGGGGGAGAGAGAGAGAGAGAGAGAGAGAGTGTGTGTGTGTGTGTGTGTGTGTGTTGAGAGGGTACACAAGCAGACAAAAAGAGACAGTAAGAAAGAGAAAGAAAATGTGTGTGTGTGTGTGTGTGTGTGTGTGTGTGTGTGTGTGAGAGAGAGAGAGAGAGAGAGAGAGAGAGAGAGAGAGAGAGAGAGAGAGAGAGAGAGAGAAAGGGAGAGAGGGTACACAAGCAGACAAAAAGAGACAGTAAGAAAGAGAAAGAAAATGAGAGTCAGAGAAAGACAGACGTACAAAGAGACAGACAGACAGACATAAAAAAGGCAGACAGATAGACGGTCATACAGACAGACAGACAGACTGACTGACTAACAGACAGACAGACAGACAGACAGACAGACAGACAGACAGACAGACAGACAGACAGACAGACAGACGACGTGTTTCCCAGCCATGGACGAGGCAGAATGTTGACACGCCTCTTGCCCCGACTTGATAAGCCACGTCACTGCCTCATTAGCCGGCCACGCAACACCCAAACTCTCCGACACTTTTCTCTCTAGGGACATAGAGTTCTGGCATTCACGGCGCTTTCATGCCGTTGTGGGGCGCTGAATACCCGCTCAAAGATAGGCCGGTCTTGAGAAGAAATTACCGGCGTTGCTTCAAATGTATTGAATGGCGCAAGTCGTGAGCTGAATTGTTGTTATAATATAACATATTATGTGTTTGGGAAATTTGTAATATTTAAATTCTGGGTGAAAATATTGTGGTCGAGTCTCTGTGCATAATATGCTACATTTTCCTGTCTTTCTCCCTGTTTCTCCCCCCCCCCCCTTCTGTCGCTGTCGCTCTCTCTCTCTCTCTCTCTCTCTCTCTCTCTCTCTCTCTCTCTCTCTCTCTCTCTCTCTCTCTCTCTCTCCCTTTTTTTCTCTTTTTTTCTTTCTCCCTATCTCCCTATATCTCTCTCACTGACTCTCTTGCTCTTCCTCTCTATATGTCTGCCCCCTCTCTCTTGTTCCTCCTCTCTAGCCCCCCCCCCCCCCCCCTAAATATTCCCGCCCAAAAACCTCGTGGATACGTCCCTGATTACAAGCATTTCGGAATTCAATAGACCCTCCAGTAATCTCTGTGTTAGTTGCACCGCCATCATCAATTTAGCCTCCCTGAAAGACCGGGCAGAAAATAGGCTCTTTAAATTGATATCAAGTTGCTGATTACAGGCTGGCAGTCAGAACAGGGCTGGGCCAACACTGATTGACAGGTTTGACTGTAATGAACGGGTGTCCTAGTCCCAGAGACAGAGACAATAGACAGACGAAACGAACCCGTCGCTGTTACATGATCTCTCTCTCTCTCTCTCTCTCTCTCTCTCTCTCTCTCTCTCTCTCTCTCTCTCTCTCTCTCTCTCTCTCTATCTATCTATCTATTTCTGTCTATCTATCTAACTAGCTAGCTATCTCTACCGTTATCGCTCTCTGTCTATATATTGATTCATCTATAAGTCTGTCTGTCTATCGATCTGTTTAACAATCTGTCTATCTTTTTCTCTCATTCTCCTCTCCCCCCCCCCCCCCCATCTCTATTTCTGTCTCTCTCCTTCTCT